CTGCCGCGCTCCACGTGGGGTGGGAAGTGTATGTGATCAAAACAGCCCCCGCCTCGAGGGAGTCCGCAAGGGTGGAGGAACCCTGCTCTGTTGTACCAGAGTGCAGAGTAGATTCCTGAGGCGGGGGGGGGGATTTGGAGAGGGGTGGAAGTCATGTAAAATCCTAAACATGGGGACATGATGTAATGTAACATGTATATCTTTCTGCTCTGACAGCTTAAGAGAAGGTGGACTGCATATAGCATTCTGGGATAACACCTAAGGCCTAGTCACTGAATATAATTATCCAAAGAGCAAGAGTCCATGAGTTCAATTCTCAGTAGAGGGTTGAACCCCATACAAAAAGATCTGGCTATGAATGTCTGATGAGTCCCACTAAGGATGAACCTGATCATGTATTGCCTTTGGGTGTCCCGTATGGCTGAGAGCTCTGTAATTTGATAACATGCTCCAATACACTTGTGTTCTTGTGATTATTTGTAACCCAGTGTGCACATAAAAGACAAAATGTATAGTAACAAATGGTTGCCTAGAATTTGGATTTAGATTATAGTGGTGGTGGTGATGGTGATGAAATGGAATCAGGTTTCCTCAGAAAGGGCTAGATGAAAACAGTAAGACCTGAAAACCAAGCCATCATCTCTCACTATAACATCAAGGTCAGGATGATACAGAAGGTTGAATTGCTTCATCTCTCAATCTCATCAGATTCTTTCCCAAATCCTCAAGTTCTAACCTAAGCTTGGTAGCTCTAAACTCTTACAGATGTTCAAAGTGACAGGAGTAGAGACTGCTAACCTACTTCTGCTTTGCTGAAGCTGCCTGGAATCCATAGCTAATCTCCCCAACACTCTGACTTTGGTGGGGAATCCAAGAATCCATATAATGACAGGTTGAGGAGGCCGGACAAAAATTAAGTTGCCTGACTAATGTTATCCATCCCTGACTGAAATCATGCCAAGTTTTGATGAGAAACAGTCTAATAAGTGTCTGCTGTCACTGCAACAAAGCTGAAAAACACTCATTTTGATAGATGTTATTTGACCTTCATCAGAAAGAAGGAAACCTCACTGGAACAGAAAATATTGAGAAGATATTGTCTTGGGAGCTGAACTGGAAAAGGAGCAGATGGCCATGATGAAGAGAGGAATGATCTGCTTTGACTATGGGAAACTTTAATGAGCAATTCCGGATGCAAGAAGCAACTCATTCATTCACGCTTAGCATTTGGCCACTCAAAGAGTTGTTTTGGTCTGCTTCATCGAGAAAAACCACTTATCCCCCCCGCCCAAGTTGTAGGGCAAATA